CTTAACTGTATTGCCACAGAATTCTACATAATGTTTTCTTATATTTGAAAGTTATTTATCTATAGCAAGAGGAAACTCTGGCACTTCTATCCCATTTCCTTGGAATTACAGGTATAGTAGTGTCTCCTCTACTCTCCAAAGAAAATATTGAAAGAAATATTGCTTCTCTTGAGATAAACTGTGAGGCTGAAGAAAGCTTCACGTCTACTGGACCAAATTTACCAAGAGCCTTATTGAAGAAGTAACAAGGGCTGTCACTCTCTACTGTTGCTTCCTGAATTGCTTCCCCTTCCCCGTGCCCAAACGCAACAGGTCAGGAACGTTTGCCTTCTGTACAGCTATCAGACCTTGCAGACCTTGGCAAACAGGTCTGGCAGACCCTATTGCCCTACCCCAACTCCTCTGTGACTTTCATGCATTATGTACAGTCAATTAAGATCAGAGAGATTGGGAAACACACTCGGGCTAAATTCAAGCTTCATTCCCTAATTCAACTCTACAAGTGAGCCCTTTGCTCAGAGGCATTTAGCCTACATTAATAAAGATAGTAGGTGATTCAAAATAAATATTCTACAAGCCAAGACACTGAAGAGAAAGAAGCAAAGTACTGACTTCTCAAGTATAACCCTTACAGATCTTTCTCCTCAGTCTCAATTTAATATGTTTGTAATTTGTTTGTTTTTTCTTAAATAGACTTTCCAGCAATTTACATGTTGTTGTTTCATAACCTACAGTAGAAGGTTCGATCTGGGTCAAAAACAACTGTAAAGACCTCAACTGCATGGCATTACAGAGTTGAGATCTTTGTTCTCCAATCCCAGGACACAGCTCCTTTGCATAAACTTGCTTCTCCCTGCCACCTCCCCTTACCTTTCCCAAAGAATTTCCTCTCCCTCAACTGATTCGCAGGCTTCTGCTTGATCGAATCTTCTATTCCATCATGATGCCATTATAAACATCTAAGGTAGAAATATTATAGGCAGTCAGATAGGGTTGAGCCCTTGACAGATCAGCACAAAAGATGAAAACACGTAACAACCATGGCCGGAGACGCAACTGTTAGAGACTGGGCCTCAAGACAAAGGTGAAATGACCAGGCCTGCATACTTCCCCAAAGGACAAGATAAGTGATAACACCTGGCCTAATGAAGCCCAGAGACATCAGTCACCCCAATGGGTGACCAAGACCTCTGGACCCATCATTTCCTAGAAAAAAGTCTGTTCTTTCCATGCACACTTGTTGCGTGCGTAACTTGTTCCCCCAATGGACAGTTACCAGAGCAACTGTCCTTGTAACCTTATTGGTTGATTGTAGCTTTAACCCACATTATACCCAGCGGTTTTTGCTCTGTAAAACTTCCCCTGAAAAGTGGGGTCATGGCTACCCATTTGGTACCCCTCCTGCCTCTCGGGAGCTATCCTCTAAATAAATATTTCCTACACTTAACCTCCATTGTTCCTAGAATTCATGCTTCAGTTTTAGAGAACACCAACTAGACGGATCAGACATCTAACAGGACGAGAGTTATATCATTTCTTGTATCATTTAGAGGTCCTGTTTCACCTCCTATATCATCCCTGTGTCAGTCCATCCTTAGTGGTCTTTTTTCTTCTGGCTCATGACATTTTAGGTCCTACTCTGACGCTAACTGCAAGGTTGACCCAGTATTTCTGGTTCAGACTCAGGAGGCAGGAAATCTTCCCAGACCAGCTTGTCGCTTTATGCCACACCACATCACAGTCCTCAAGAAGCCTGGAAAATGATACGGGTCCAGGGCCAGCCACCTGACCTCTGACCCCATCTCTCCTCAGCCCCCTCAGCGAGAGCTCAGAATGAACACACAAACAGAATTCTTGATCTACACCTCCGGGCTCTTGTCTACCTTTTCCATACGGTGCATCCCTACCTGCTAAGCTCCTTATCACTCCATGGCTGTCCTTGGTTCCCCCCTTGCTCCCTTCATCCCGTTCATAAGTGCTCATTCATCAAGTCCCATCAGTCCTTTCTGCAAAGTAGATCCAAAATCTGTCCATTCTCTTCATTGCCACTAACACCACCTTAGCCCAGGACCCCCTTATGTGTTCTGTGCATTACGACAGTGGCCTTCTAACAGCTGCCTAGCCAGCCAGTGAGCTTCTGTTATCATTCAATCCATACCGTATCTCTATGCTACGGCTGGAATATCATCTCAGTCACTTTCTTGTGAGCTCTGCTCTCAGAATGAGGGATGCCACTTATAGCAGCACTCAAGGCTGCACGTTCTCTCCTTTCTTTCCCCCTCCCTTGCCCATCTGCCGTCCGCCACAGAATGAGCAAGCACCAAGGCCATCCCCACATGCTGCCCCATTCTCTCGGTCCTACCAGGCTCTGTGACCATGCAACAAATAAACTTCTACTCGTTACAAATCATCCAGTTGGCTGTAGGTCCTAGCAGTCCAAAACCGATTCAGACAGCACTCCCCATAGCAGTAATAATGACCTTAAAAATACCAATTTGCTCGTGTAGATCCCTCCCTCAAAAGTCCTTCTGTAGCTCCCTGTTTCTCTTAGAATAAAATCCAGTCCTTCTCCATGCTTCACACATTCCTCCCTAATCTGTTCCCGGACAATCTCTCCAGCCCATCCCATGATGCTCGGGCCACGAATGTCTTCCTCTAGAGACTCAAAGGTCCCTGGCTTGGAGCCTCTGCAGGTCCTTGTGCTGGCTGGGTCTTTCCCCTGTCCCTTTCTGGCTTCGGGTCACAGCTCAAATGTGGCTCCCTTGCAGGGGATTTCCTTGGTCACCCTAAACAAAGGATAACTCTCCTAACTTAAAATTATTTATTTTATTATCTTATGTTTTCATACACTTGCCTATCTCCTTAAATTACTGGAAAAGAAACTATGAAGAACAGATGCAAAAAAAAGCAAAAGTCAAAAAGGAAAGCAGAGAAGTTTCCTTGGAAAAAAAAGACGAAAACTAAGTGGGAAAAAATATGGAATTATAAACATTCCAGAAAAAAAATGAGTTCACAAAATATGTAAAGAAATGCAAACATTATCCATCCCCACAGTGAACACTGCAGCCGCCTATTCGAGATTTCTAACTCCTCTCCCCTTCAGATTCATGGAAGTCAACTCACCTTGCATTCTGGTGACAACAGTATTCACTGCTTAAAGAACTTAGGCTCCAGATGAGTCAGAAACATTTGAAAAAGTCATTATGAGTCTTTAGAATAATCCAATGCTTCTTTTCTCAATGTAAGTTTGCATAGCAAGGCTCCAAGACAAGTTTTAAAATAGAACAACCCTCTCTTACAGCCTTGGGACACGAGGCCTGGGCTCCCCACAATAGCCTGGCTCTCCTGCTTCCTTTTGTCCCCTGCAATGCCTTTTTGTAAATCACAGGTGTTTGTGGCCATAAAGCCCATGGGCTGGGAGTTGATTGTGAAGAGTTCTTTCTTTGCCACTTGTTCTAAACCTGTTCAGAGAGTGCTCCGTGCCTTCGACCAAATCTCCATAAAAATCAAGAAACAAGAAGTTTCTGTAAGCCTGCCCAACAGCCACACTATGACATTAGTTTAGACAGCTCTGTGACCCCCTATTGTCCCAACTTTATTCACTAGTCTCTTTTTCTCTTTCTTTCTCCATTCCTTTTTTTTAAAGCCCTTATTGGCATTTGGCATTTTTTATCTACTGTAAAATAAAAAGGAGGATGGTTGTTTTTTTGTTTTGTTTTGCTTTTTAGAAAAGCACTCTATGTGGCAGCTAGAAAAAGCTATCTGGAGCTACTGTAGTAATGGTTTTTTAAAAAAACACCTGCAAATCAAAGAAAGACACCATAGCAGTGTCTTCGATTTTTTTTCTTTCCCTTAAGTTCCCCCTGGCTATTATGGAGTAGGCCTGGTAATGAATTTATGTGACAGCTATGAAGTTAGTGTTAAAATCGTGAATAGCGCCTAGCAGTTTTCATGCCCTCACTATACGATCCCCTCAATTTGCAGCACAGCGGTGAATAGGGTAAGGGGGGGGGTCTGTCCATGAATGGTGCGGAGGGCTGTGAAGGGGGGTTCCCGGGAGGGAGCCCACCGCAGTCACGGGAGAAGAGTGATTTATTTTTGAACTTCCAAAAGGGAAAGCCCAGAGGAGCTGCCTGAAAGACCCCAAGCATAGTGTGAGCTACATAACTCATCCCTGCACTTTCAGTAATTTCCGCGCCAGCTCTGGAAGGGCAGGGCCCGCCTGGGGCGGAGGCCGCCCCACCCCTCGGGTCTCCCCACGCTGAAAACTCGCTGCCAGCGGGGCGCAGAGGGCGAGCGACAGGAAGCGAAGAGGGAGGAGGGAGGGGTTAGGCGTCGATCCCGGTGGACAGGAACCCCTGGGCGAGCAGGACTGAGCAGCGGAGCGCGCCGGAGAGGGGCCAGGCTGAGGGCGCCGCGCGGGGCCCGAGCCGGACGGGGTCGCCCCACACCCCGCCCCGCCCCCAGCAGGCCCCGCCCCGGCCCGGAATTAGCATGCGGGCGGCGGAGGCCCGGGCGGGAGGGGGCTACGGCCGCGCTCGCTCCGCGGGGGACCATCTGCTCGCTGTCAATGCGTCACCTGCTCGTCTGGGCCGTCGCCGGGGCAACGGGGCGGGGGATTAGGAGCGTGTGCGCCGCTGGCCGGGAGGCGGCGGGGCAGCGGGCGACTCCGGGAGCGCAGCCCCGGGGCTTGGGCGACCGCGCCCCCGACAGCCCCTTCCGCACACCCTCTCCAGCTCCGGGCCCCAGCGGCGTCCGCGGGCTCGTCCACGCCAAGGGGCCCGAGAGCTAGGGAAACAAAGACCGGCAAGCCACACACACACACACAC